TCACTCACTCACTCACTCACTCACTCACTCACTCACTCACTCACTCAAGGCCAGGGGGCCAAATGTGGCCCTCGTTGACGTTTTATCTGGCCCCCAAGATGATCTGTGAAATGTAAAATACTTTTATCTCTTGAATTTTTTCAGTAATCTTTGATTATGATGTCGAAAGCACAACAGAGAACATCAAATGAGACAAACTCTCGTTGAGGAACCTGTGACCAAGAAAAGATGTCGGGTATCTGATTTGAGTTAATGTAGATTCTGAAATTGGCCCTTAGTTTGAAAAAGGTTTTAATTTTGGCCCACTTTTGTAAGTGAGCTTGACACCCTGGTCTAGTTTGACAAACAACAATTTGTCCGTTTTGCTCTGTCCTTGTGTTTGACTGGTTAAGGTCATAATGTACAGCTGGTTTGATTCCAACACCTGTTTGGTGTTGATGCTTGTGTTTTAGAGAGAACTCACATCATCATATAAAATAATGTATCACCCAGACCTAAGTGCTGACTTGTGTGTTTATTATTATACCTATGTTCCATGTGGAGTTAAAACTTCTTGTGATGCTGTTGTGTTGTTCAGATGGGGGCTTACCACACCATTGAGCTTGAGCTCAACAGGAAGTTCACTCTTGCTAAAAAGTGCTGGGACAGCGTTGTGCTGGACAGAATCGGTAAGCAGACGCTTCACTTGAACTCTGACTGCGACCACTTCCACTTGTTGACCTTGTTCTGAGTAATCAAAGCAAATGCACATCATCTGTCCAGTTTTAACCACCGTTACCAGTAAAACTGCTCTGACCTGTCAAAGACTTTAATATTCATTTGAAGGTCTATGGGATCAGGCATCAAGCATTTAAAGCAGAACCAACCAATCATTAATTCAGCTTTTAAACATTTACTTGTATAAAATCCTTTCTGTAAATTAGTCCCATTTTGATAATGTTCATCAACAAGTCACTTCACATGGCAAGTGTGAATGTTAGCGTTCTAAATGAGTTTTGATCTATTTCTTGTCTCGTCATCTACCCTTTAGAGCAGGCCTGTGATCCGGCCCAGAGGGCAGATGTGGCAGCTGTGGTGATGCAGGAAGGTCTGGCCAACCTGGTGCTGGTGACCCCCGCCATGACTCTGCTTCGGGCCAAGGTGGAGGTCACCATTCCTCGTAAGAGAAAAGGAAGCTGCACTCAGCACGAAAAGGTCAGGTGTCTTGTTGTGTCGGTGTGTAAATAAAGCTGCACCTTGAAGAGACGGTTTCTGACATGTGTTCTAGTGACGCAGTTTCAGAAACAGTGCTGTATATCAGAACAAATGCGCTTGTTGGATTTAAGGCAGTTTCTTATGATGGCAATGTATTTATGAACTGGATTTTTGTGTCATCTATCTAAAGAATATGGGGCTGCGCTCCTTGGAGCTGCAACCACTTACACTCTGCCCATCTTTCAGACGACGGCATGGAATATAATCTCGCTGTACTTCGGTGCAATGATAATGAAGCTTATTCTGATTCTGAAAACAAGGGCGTCTGCAAGGGCTGGGCGGTATGGACCAAAATTAATATCTCAATATTTGTAAGATAAATTGCGATATGTAATAACAAAACTATATTTCTGAGTCTAAGCTTTGTCCCAATTGTCACCCAGGTACATTTATTAACTGTGCAAAATAAATGTCTAAAAATAAACGATTTACATATATTTGTTTGTTTTTAGACATTTATTTACATATAATAAATAATGCTCCCCAGCTGCGCCGCCGTCACAACGTTAAGCAGCGTGTGTGAAGCAGCAGTGAGGGGCTGCTTGTATTCAGTGAGGGAGGAGCCGTGTGAAGTTACACACACATGATTTTCAAGTCTTACAGTGAGAGGTGACGCGACATTAATAAAGCAGCAGCTTATCATATCGCTAAAGACACGGTCCTTAGCAGCTAACAAGGTTCATCAGGAAGGTCAAACAATTGTCGACTCTCTCGTGTGAGAGAAGAAGAGCGGCCAAGAAAAAAACCCAAGAAGAAGAAAAAACAACTAGATGCCAGAATATTTCTATATATTTTTTCTCCAAACTAAATTAGTCTTCTAGTTTTGTGTCTCGTTTTACGTTCAGACCTCCGCAGTCTGAACAGGAGACCAAAAAGCATGTAACCAGATTTTATGTATGAATCGATGTCCGCTGTGCTGCACACCACACTGCAGTTATAGTACAAAAAAAAAAGATTTACTAGATCTGTTTTTTAAAAAGAGTGTTGATGTTGGCATTTTTTGTTTGTTTACATTAGAGGCGGCTGTGGCTGAGTGGTTAGAGCAGTCGTCCTCCAATGCAAGAGTTGGGGGTTCGATTCCACCAGCAGTCACATGCCGAAGTGTCTCTGAGCAAGACACTGAACCCCTAATTGCCTCCAATGTGTGTCCCATTGGTGTGTGAATGTGATAAAGCACTGATTATTCTTTGTATAGATCTAGTAGAGTGCTGTATGAATGGGTAAATGAGAGCACAGATTGTAAAGTACTTTGAGTATCTTGATAAGATAGAAAGGTGCTATATAAGTACAGTCCATTTAATATTTTATAGAATAATATGAAGACATTTTTAGTGTAAAAGGATTAGCAATTAGTTTTTTTGTGTCGTAGTTTGATGTCGGATGGTTTGTGTCTGCAGGCGCTGGATCGGTTCTACGAGGCTGTGATGCAGGCGATTCTTCGCCACATTAATTTTGATGGTAGGATTCAGACACAACTACATCTCCACATGTCTCCTCACACAGATTGCTCCTGTTTTTGTCACATGCTTCTTGTTTTTCGTCCATAGCTACTAGAACAGCTCTGCTTTAAGCTTCTGGCAGTTGGTTTTTTATTTTATGGGGCGGAATAATGAAATTGATGGTTTACATTTTGATTTAACTTTCTTTTGATTTCTGTTAGTGGTGAAGTGCATCCTTGTGGCCAGTCCAGGGTTTGTGAAGGACCAGTTTTACACTTACCTCTTTAAAGAGGCGGTGCGGCAGGATAACAAGGTTCTGCTGGAAAATCGGCCCAAGTTCATGCTGGTCCACTCGTCATCGGGTCATAAATACTCACTCAAAGGTACGAGCTGCTCCACGCTTTGAGTAAAACAGTCAAACCGCATCGCAAGCCAGAAACATGAAATACTTGTTTTACAGAAATCCTCTGTGACCCCGCTGTGACGAGCAGGCTTTCTGATACAAAGGTACACAGTTCTTGTTTAACTCATGATCCCAATCAAAGAGCTGAAACTGTCTTAAACCAGGACTGCAGAACCATCAGACTGTTTGTGCTGATATAAATCCCATAAGATTAAACAGTGGGACATGTACATTTAAAAATAATACTAGAGGAATTGTATTTCCTGTGAAAATGCAGTGTGAAAGCTTATTACTGACGAACTTGCTGAAAAACAGCTGAAATTACGGTAGCTAAAAACATGCTTAAATATAGCTAAAATGGAAGAACAATCCTAAATAGCAGAAATAACACATATTTGCTAAATTTGGTTTAAATAAGCAGAAATTAGCACAAAATTAGTTGCTTATATAAAATAGCTGAAATTAGCTAAAAAGTAGCTGAAAAGGCAGAAAGAAGTTTAAATTACCAGGAGTGGATAGAACACATTTTTGCTGAATTAGGCTGAAAGAAGTTGAAATGAGTGCAAAAAATGTGTAATTAGCAGAAAATGCTAAAATTAGCAGAAAACCAGCTAAATATTAGCTGAAATACCTTGAACTAGCATAGGTAAGCTGAAATTAGCATAAAGAAGTTAATTACCGGTAGGCTGGAAGTAGCACAAATTACCACTGAAACTTTACCGGTCATTTATCAGAAAACAGCTGAAATTAGCTAAAAATGCTAAAAAGTTACTGTAGCTGAAAAAGCAGAACAAGCTTAAATTAGCAGAAGAAACCATAAAGAACATGTGTTTGCCCAGTTAGGCTTAAAGAAGCAGAAATGAGCACAAAGAAGTGGAAATTATCTGAACAAAGCTGAAATTAGAAAAAAAAAAAAAAAAGCAGCTTTAAAGTATCTAAAAAGCAGAAAGAAACTTAAATTTAAAAAAGGAAGTGGTGAGAGCACAATTTTTGCTGAATTAGGCTGAAAACATTTAAATGAGTACAAAATGTGGATTTAGCCAAAAAAGCTAAAATTAGCATAAAAATGGCTACATTGTAGCTGAAATCGTAGAAAAAGCTGAAATTTGCATAAATAGATTGAAAGGTGCATAACAAGCTGATATTGGCAGAAAGAAGTTAGAAGCACAAGAATGTTTTACTTAGCAGAAATAATCTGAAAGGAGCACAAAACAGCTGAAAGTAACTGAAAAAAGATTAAAATTGTGCAAGGAAGCTGAAAAAAGCTGAACCAGCACAAAATGTGAAAGGAGCAGTAAAAGGTTGGAACAGATCTAAAGATTTGAAGGATAGAAAATGAGCTCAATTCATTTTCTGTAAGAGAAAAAAATGTTGGGTAAATATTTCAAAAAGCTAAAGCTACACCAACACCAAAAGTCATAGCACCCTTCTGAACGAGCTGAACGTTTTGATATGATTTGTTGAAATAGCACAAAAATTGTGGAACGAGAAAGAAGCCGAAAAACTTAGGGAAGAAAAATGGATCACAACAGTGTGAACGCTTCATAAACAATAATAAATCATAGTGTAGTTGTTGTTTACATTAACTTATTTAAAATCAGCGTGAGTGCAGTTTATAGAGAAAAGCGAATCCATGTGTAACATTTAGGAATCTATTGCTGCAGTTTGAAAATCTGCACAGGCTTTATGAATTTCAGTTTAGATATTACCCTGAAAGTGCATTTTCACATCATTTTGACCCAGCGGGTTCATATTTTATTTTCCAAACTGATGTTTTGGTGCAACTCTCAGGCAGCTGGAGAGGTGAAAGCCCTGGAAGACTTCTACAAGATGCTTCAGCACGAACCCGACAGAGCTTTTTATGGGTGAGACGAGACGGACCAGAACACTCAGCTGAGGTTCACTCGTTCACTGAGAACCAACACTCTTTACCTCTTCTGCACAGAATTGCTCATGTAGAGAAAGCAGCCGATGCCCTCGCCATCGACACCCTGCTGATCAGTGATAAGCTGTTCAGGTATTTTCTGCTGGCTTTAAAATGTACAAACCTACAGGTTTTCATGGTATTTTACTACATATGAAGTTTTTTCCTTGTGTATTCAGACATCAGGATGTCCCCACTAGGAGTCGTTACGTTCGGTTGGTAGACAACGTGAGAGACAACGGTGGAACTGTCAGGTAACTTTTATTTCTTACAACAAACCATACGGCTGTTTAAGTACCCATATTTTCCAGCGTATAAGTCACAGGACTGACATAGCTATACAGAAAACTGACTTATACGCCGGAAAATGCGGTATTTGATAGGCATGCACTGGGCTGTATTATTTTATGAGTTCAAATATTTTACACAAAATGTTTTCTTTGAGTCCTTTTAGAGTTTATTGATCAAATGATTCAGTGTTTCCCAACCGAGCTGAGAAGTTTTCTTTTCTTTCTGCAGAATATTCTCAAGCCTTCATGTGTCCGGTGAACGTAAGTAACTGAACACAGAAATATTTTACATTTTTTTAATTGAATACATTGGATGTAAATATTTCCAAACTGCACAGTACAGCTAATGCAGTTTAATATTTTAAAGTCATCATTTTTGTTTTGACTGATTCACTCCTCCATTAAAACAAATTTTCAGCCCGAGTTTAAAATGAAAACACGAGATTGTTGTGGTCAAATTAAACTTTAACCGTGTTATTTGGCGTTCTGTAGTGAAACCCAAGCAGCCTGCGGTTGTTAATTTTATCCTGAACTGTCTTCAGAGCTGACTCAGCTGAGCGGAGTGGCTGCCGTCCTGCGTTTCCCCATCGCTGACCTATCAGAGCCGGAGGACGACAGCAGCTCAGCTGAAGACTGATCCAGCACACCAGAGTTTTATTGAGAACGAGACGACTCGTGGTTACACGTCGCAGTGAATCTGTTGGAGGACACCACAGCAGTCTCATGTTCAACCATCTCCAACATCAGCACCTTTGCCTTCCTGAAGTGGCCATACTTTCACATGACTGGATGCGTCTGAATGTTTGATGCTTTTAGTTTGAAGGTGCCTTCACAAAAGAGCCGAGGCTGAGAAGTTGCCATATTCAAAAGAAAACAAATCACCTTTGTAGCAGCAGAGCTAACCCTCCTTCATCCAGTTGTATATACAACTTACTCTTCTTGCAAATAAACAGCAGAAGCATGAGATTAATACCCGTCATTCCACTTTGTCATATTTCTAATCGTGCATGGATTGGACACAAGTTGGACAAAGATGTAAAAATATACTTTTTATTAGACCCAGTTCTTTCATTTTTAGTTTGAAGACTGTGTAGTTACGGGTCAACGCCCCCAAAACTACTGCATATCAACAAACTCTAAATCAAGTATGCTCAGGATTTTTAATTTAATAAAGCAGCCTGGTGCTTCCTCTTGTTCTCCTCTGGCAAAATGTGGAAAACTTCTAATCAACTAAAACTAAAGTGCATTTTTAAAGACGCCAGTGTTGCTTTGCATGTGAACTGGCTGCAGTTGGCATCACTCCGGACACTGGAAGCTCTTAATCCAAGCTAAATCCTCCATCGTGCCCCAGTGCAGGTAGATGATTGAGCAGATGACCATGACGTGCATTATCTGGTGGCTGTTGCCCCAGTTATCAAACAGGCCCGGGCTGAAGCGCTCGGGGATCTGGATGATGTTCACCAGTCCTCCCAGTACAGCTAGAGCGTCCATGATGACGAAGAGGCGCATGGAGTTGGGACTGCCCACCCCGTTCCCGTACACCCGGAACAGGAAGAGGACGAAGCGGAACAACGCCTGCCAAACGAAAGATCTCAGTCGCAGGACGTTGGTGTGGGCTGTGGTGGCGCAGTAGATCCCATACGCTGAGAGGACGATGTAGACCAGCAGGGCGGTCCGCTGCAGGGTGGGGTAGCAGAGGAGGGTGACGTATATGATGGGAAGAGCCCCTGAAGAGAAGGAGAGGTTTTAGAACAGTTTGAGATTTCAAACTTGATGTGAAGCAGCTGAAGATTATTCAGCTCGGACTGTTTTTATCCTTGAACTTAGTTTGTTCAGGAGTCTGACTTAAATATTTAAAATTCTTTTACATTTAGTTCAAACGTGCTTTCTGATTGGCCAGTTATCAGGAAGATGACCACTTTATTATTTTCCTTTTATAAACGATAAAAAAAAATATGAGTACTGTATTTTCTGGTGTATCAGTCGCATCAGCCAAAAAAAGCATCAAGAAGATGAAAAAAAAACCAGAAGTCGCTTTGGCGTATAAGTGGCGTTTACTATTAGTCACCGCTGACCCCCGGGAAACGTGGGACGACTTTTGGCACGACACGGGCATGGGCGGCGGAGGAACTCTGGAGCTGCGAGCTCTCCAGCGTTCCTCCGCCTGCACCAGCTGAGTGAAGCGAGCGTGCATGCGAGGCCTAGCTGTTGCAGTGCTTCAAAATTTAACAAGATTAACACTTAAAAACAATTATTTGTTTGCTCAACATATAACAAAGGTGTCTCAGTTTAACTTAAATAAATGCACTTTAGGACAGTGAGGGCAGCGGTACAGGAACAACATATACGCCTACTGGTAGTTGTCAAAAGCCTAGAGGGCCCTCTAGTGGCTGAAAATGGTAATGTTTACTCTGGTTCATGTCATTGTGAATGAACATTTAAAGCGTCAGTCAAAAATTGCGTCATGAATATGGGGAAGAAAACGTGTATAAGCCGCAGGACTGACAAATCTATGCAAAAAAACGGATTTATATGCCAGAAAATATTGTAGTTTAAAATTAGCATCTTTTCATATATTAAGAGGATGATCAACAGACTGCCCATTCAGTCAGAAATTATATTTTCATGTTTGCTGAACCATTTGGACAATAATGAGTTTATGTTCAACATTTCGTAAACTCGAGTGGAAAATTCAGTTAAAACATCAGAAGTTGTACTAACGTCTTTTTTAGCAACATTACCCAGTGTGTTAACTAGGCAGACCCCGAACATGTCGAGGGAGAGCAGCGTGTCGTACACGTGCCGCCCCCCTCGGTGGTTCATGAACAGGTGGTAGAGGACTGAGCCGACGGTGGGGCAGAGGCAGGCCAGGTAGTGGACCACACAGATCCACGTGCTGTCCACCTCCATCCAGGGGATACTGTAAGGCAGCAGCACCAAGAACAGCAGGAATGGGATGCCTGCGGTGATGGGAGAAGAGGAAATAAAATCAGATTTAAGTGAAGTTAGTCTTCGACGATGCAGTCATTTTACAGGTTTGCAACTTCTACGATTAAAAGATCAATTCTACTTGTTCGCTTACCAAATAAACTTTGTTCAGAGATGCAAAGCACGCTTGAAGTTTAAAATAAAACTACTGTTATATAAATACATAAATAATTGGAGACCTTATGAGTAGTGGTGTCTCGATACTGGTGATATTGGACCAGCTTCAAGTACTCGTTCTTGTATTCATAAAAACACCTGATACTTTGGATTGATGCCACTTTAATAAGTCCATACCGGTAGTTTAGATATTTTGATTAAAAATGTGATGTTAAGACAGCGACTGTTTCTGGTGTTCTTCATAAATTCCCTGAATGAATCTTCCCAAGGGATCAATAAAGTTATATTTAATTTAAAATAAATATTTATAAAGTTTTTGTGTAATGTTTAAGTATTAATTCATAACCACCTTGGTATCGGTACTCTGTATCAGTAAGTACCTTAATAAAAGTACTTATAGTCTGAAAAAACTAGCATTTAGGCGCCACTACTTATGAGTATTAATCGTTAAAATGTATTTTGTTTTTACGTTAGGACCAAGGTGTCTGCCACTTTTGATCAAATTTAATCCCTAAACTTTTGCGCACCTATGCAAGTTCTTTACATTCAGAAAACTCTTATCTATCGTCACAAATACAAATGTTAATTTCCATATTTGTTTTGATCAAAGCTACAAAGAGCCACACGTGGCTCTAGAGCTGCAGATGACGTGACTAAATTTGTAGATCAGAGGTCAAATGAAAATACTTAAAACAAACAAAAGCTAACCGTTCAAAACGAAACAAACCTGTTAAGATATACACATGTACATTATAAAGTTGGCATAAAAAAGAATGCATGAGGAGAAATATTAGAGCTGTATAAAACTTAATATTCACAAGCTGATCTTTAAGCCATTAATTTACCCGACGATTAAAATATTACATCAGTAAATTTTTGTAGTGCTGCTGGCAAACTCGTCCCAATCGACGGACCTTTAAACAAAAAATATTCTTCAATGTTTTTTGTGTTGTTGGTTCAATTTTTAGCCTAAAGTGACTTAAAGATTTTATATTTTCTCACAGTAACACTTTACTATAAGGTACACACAATGTGATTAACTACTAGGGAACACCTCAGGAATCAATCAGGAGCTAATGGGTAGTTAACCAGTACTTACTGGGGAACACACAGCCAAGTTTTATTAGGGGACTACTGGTTTGTTACCACAGAAACGGGAGAAATTTTCCATGTGGTTTCTGAATAAACTGCACCAGTGAGGTCACAGCTCGTAATGGTCAAAAACCTGTTTCCAAGTGATTTTATTGGATTTTCTCTTTTGTAAACCTAATCAATGGTAATAATCCAGTACAACCAGTAATCACTAGGAAACCGGTTTTTGGCAATTATGAGTTGTGACCTCACTGGTGCAGTTTATTCAGAACCCACATGGAGAATTTCTCCTCTGTTTCTGTGGTAACAAACCAGTAGTCCCCTAATAAGGCTTGGCTGTGTGTTCCCTAGTAAGTACTGGTTAACTACCCATTAGCTCCTGATTAGTTTCTTTGGCTTCCATGGTAACTACCCATTAGTTCAAGGCGTTCCCCAGAACTTAATCAAATTTTGTGTACCTTTATTGTAAAATTGTTACCAGAACAGCTGCATTAAAATGTTTCGACTTGAACAGTCGTTTGTGTTCTGAACCAGGAACAATGTGTTCTGTAGTGTGAAGCAGAGGAACCTGAGCAGTACTGGATTACTAATATCCTTCCCTTCCCCTCAGTAAGAGTGTTACTCTTAATGAACTTATCCGTTGACCGAGGACAGAACGGCACAAAAAGAACATACCTTTAGATGTTTTAGACTTTACAACTTTTAAATCACGTTTTTTTATATTTCATCTTTTATTGGTTTTGCACAACAGACTACATCTTCAAGTCCTGCATCATTGACCATTTAAAAAAAACTTTATTTTTATTGTTCTGCTCAAGTCTCTCTAGGAATTTGAACTCAGCCGTATCCGTCACCTTTAAAGTCCTAGTTAAGTGTTGGATATTTCAAATTGGGATTTTCAGAGCAGTTTACATTAATACCCTGTATCCTCATTACACTCCTCGTCAAGGATACTTGTACATGGTCAGAAGTGAAAGTAGTGGACACACGGTGACCGGCTTCCTCAGCTTTAAAGAGAAAACCAGCTTGTTATTCTTAAAGGTAGATATTAGTTGCATTTTGAAATAGTTTGTAGTCTTAATTTTAATGTTAGTTTTTTTAATAGTTTTTAATTAAATTGATCTAAAGAAAGAATAGGGCTACATCCAAAACTAATTATAATACATGCATTGACAAAAAAAAAAAGTTTTTTCCACAAGTATCTCAGAGAGTGAAATATGTCAAGCCTTTATTTCTTGTAATTTTGATGATTATAGTTTACAAATAAAAAAACAAAATTCAGTGTCTCAGAAAATTAGAACATTGTGAAGAGGTTCAATATTGTAAACTTGTGATGTCATCTTAATCAACTGATTAACTCCTAGACATGAGCCAAATGTCTCATTCCTCAAGTTCATCCACTCCTGAACCAGAGACATCAGAAGTGTCTTACCTGCTGAGGACAAAAAGAACTGGACTGTTCTAAGTGGTCCAATGTCTTCTTCAGATTAAAGTACATCATGTCATTTGGGCATCAAGGTCTTGAGTCTGGAGGAAGAGTGGAGGTCCAGAATCCACGTTGCTTCAAGTTCAGAATGAAGTTTCCACAGTCAGTGATGGTTTGGGTCCATGTCCTCTGCTGGTTCTGGTCCACTGTGTTTTCTGAAGTCCTCAGTCTAAGCAACATCTACCAGGACATTTTAGAGACTTCAGCATCTCCATAAAACTCATCGGCAGACCAAGCATGGTTTTATTTTCCAGCGGGACTTGGCTGCCCACACTGACAAAGGTACAAAAAGCTGTCTATATACATTTTTTTGTGACAGTTAAATTTTCTTTATTCATTATTTGTAAGACATAATTCTCAAAATTACAAGAAATAAAGGCTTGAAATATTTCACTGATGAATCTAAATGAGTTACACGTTCTGAAGTGACTTGACAAAACTGAACCTTTTCACGATGTTCACATTTCTTTAGATGCACCTGTAAATTGATTCAACCTTTATTTACACAGGTGAATCCCACTGAGCCTCGGGGACTCGTTTACAAGAGAGACCTGTAAATGTGAAAGGCAGAGTTGAAATCTGGACTCACCGTGCGTGTAAATGTTCCCCAGCTCATTGTGCACGTAGAACAGGCTCCCGAGGCACTCCTGTGCTGTGGACACGGGCCGGTAACCTGTCAGGACGTACTTGTTGAACTGCAGGTGATGAGGGGTCCTTGCAAAGTCTAAGAGCCGCGGTCCTTGGTAGAGCACCGTCATGGCTTCGTGCACCCAGCGCCCTGCTCTACAAGTTCCTCTACATTTACATCCTAACGAAGGCTCCGCTCTCAGCTGCAGCTGACACCACCGGCCGGGAAATCTCGTTCCTGAAATCCATCTTCGGACAGGTATAAGTCCGAGCACGCAAACTGTTGAGCTGTCCAAGTGGCTCGGTTTGAGAAGGGCCAATCAGCAAACGGCTTGCATTCCTAATCTGGGGTAATCCTTGCAAACGTCCATGTGCACTGCTGCAGATTCTCCTCGTCACTGTTAATGGCCAACTCACACGTCAACCTCACAGTGCAGATTAAAAAACAGAAGTGTTGCTCTTCATGCAAACTGGAAACAGTTTCAACACTCAGGTCAGTCTAAAGTGATGCAGTCAGGATGATTTAGGGATTAGGGGCCGTCTTCATGCTCACTTCAGTGGCTTAAGAATACTTAAACATATTTTCTGTGTAAAGTAAACAAGTGACATTTATCAGGATTTGATAGTTTTAATCAAATACTGTACAACAAACAGATTCTTGCATGAAGCTGAACAAAAATCTAGTTTTCATTAACAACCGAGTTATTACAGTAATGTGAAGACAGGTTTAGCCTTTTTCATAAAAAAAAACAGCTTCAGTAAAAATAATTAACATTTGCAGCAGACAAACATTTCTCAAAAATACCGTTTTGCATACAATGAACAGGTGAAAAGAGGATGCACGAACATTCAAAGAAAAATAAAGAGGTACCTAAAATATTGAACGGCTTCATGTACATACTTACAAACAAATCTAGCAAAATCAGTAAACGGAGAAAACTAAATTGAATGTGCAACTAGGAAACAAAACATCAAGAAGGTGTAAAATGAACTGATCAAATTGGTTCAATCAACAGTGTCAACCTACGAGGAAAGATAAAGATGAGAACAGTCAGAGCAGCTGATGGAAGTATAACTTTACATTCTGAAGGTCATTTCTTCTTACCTTGATGCTCACCGTTCCCAAAGAAGCCATTCAAGTCGTATTTCTTTCCTGAACACAGAAACATGGTGACCGTCTTTAAACGATTTAATATTTCCTGTGTGCACCTGTTTACAATTTTAAAAGTGCTACACAAAGTACTGTTGCTCAAGCGTTAAATATTTAAACTTAAAGACATACAGTTGTAATAGTGTGAAGGCTTATAAAGCCTTCACACTATTGTGATCCTGTTTATATTTATTATTCTGGGTTCTTTACTTCTTTCATTTGTTTTTTTTGGGGTTTTTTTCAGCATCTTTCTTGTTCCACAGTTTTTGTGTCTTTTCAACAAATCTTATATCAAAGCATTCGGCTCATTCAGGACAAGCCTGCTATGACTTTTGGTATTGGTGCAACTTTAGCTTTTTGGATTATTTGGCTTTTTCTGCCATATTTTTCCCCCTCACAGAAAATGAATTGAGCTCATTTCACAATTACTTCTTTCATATATTTAGATCTGTTTCCAACCTTTTACTGCTCCTTTCACATTTTGTTCCAGTTCAGCTTCTTTCAGCTTCCTTGAACAAATTTAAACATTTTTCAGCTACTTTCAGCTGTTTTGTGCTCATTTCTGCTAACTACATCATTTTTGTGCTTCTTCTAACTTTTTCTGCTAATTTCAGCTTATGTTTCTTTCCGCTTATTTCTGCAAGTTTCAGCTTTTTCTCCTATTTCAGATACCATTTAGCTGTTTTTATGTTAATTTAAGCATGATCAGCTGATTCCACTTTTTTTGCACTCAATTTAACTTTTTTCAGCCTATTTCAACAAAAATATGTTCCACTTCCTTCTGCTCATTTAAGCTTCTTTCTGCTATTTAGCTACTCTTCAGCTGTATTTTGCTAACTTCAGCTTTTCTTAAGATAATTTCCACTATTTTGTGCTCATTTCTTTTTCTTTCAGCCTAATTGGGCACAGTTGTGCTCTTTCTGCTTCCTTCTGCTAATTTAAGCTTCTTCCTGCAGTTATTTCAGCTACTATTTAGCTGTTTTTAAAAGGACAGCTATTATCCACAAGCTGTCATATTACTAAACTCTTGATAAATAACACTGAACAACTGGCAATAACATTGTACCAAGCCACATCTGTGGCAATTAATATGACTAATATTAGCTTGTGACAGCTAATATGCTTATTGTTTATTGCTGCTGCATCCTGCTTGCACCGTTATATCCATGTTGTTGTTTACCATCTCTCTTTAGGACGTTGTAAATATTATAATAACTTTTCACTTTTTGGTACTTTATATTTGTACCCTTATTGCATGATTTAGTATTTAGTGTTTGCTTGTTTCTTTGATTTTTTTTAGCAAGTCAGATCGGTTCTTCTCATCTTGAACATTTCATTGTACTGTTAACCTTGTGTTAACCTTGCATATGACAAATAAACACAACTTGAACTTGAACTTTTGAATGCTAATTTTAGCTTTTTCTGCTAATTCCACATTTTTTGCACTCATTACTTTTTCCTTCCTAATTGAGTAAAAATGTGTTCTCTGTACTTCCTTCTTGTAATTTTGGCTTCTTTCTGATTTTTTAGCTGCTTTTCAGCTGATTTTTGCTGTTGTTGTTGCTAATTTCAGCTTTTTTCTTTGTTGTGCTCATTTAGTCTTCTTTCAGCCCAATTAAAAATTTCTGCTATTTTCAATTTGTAGTGCTCCTTTCAGCTTTTTCTCCTACTTCAGCTACTTTTTAGCTGTTTTGTGCCAAATTTAGCTTCATCCATCCATCCATTATCTTTACCCGCTTATTCCATTTTGGGTCACGGGGGTCGCTGGTGCCCATGTCCAGCAATCACTGTGCGAGGGGCGGGGTACACCCTGGACAGGTCGCAAGTCCATCACAGGGACACATAGAGACAAACGAGACAAACAACCATTCACTCTCTCACTCACACCTAGGGACAATTTAGAGTTACCAATCAGCCTAACATGCATGTTTTTGGTCTGTGGGAGGAAACCGGAGCACCCGGAGAAAACCCACGCATGCACGGAGAGAACATGCAAACTCCACCCAGAAAGGCCCCTGGACCGGGGTTTGAACCAAGGACCTGCTCACTGAGAGGCAGCAGCTCTACCAGTTGCGCCACCGTGCTGCCGCCAAATTTAGCTTTTTCAGCTAATTCCACATTTTTAGGTCATTTCAGCTCCTTCCACTTTCTTCTGATAATTTAAGCTTCTTTCTGCATTTTAAGCTACTTTTCAGGTGTATTTTTTTTTTTGCTAATTTCAGCCTTTTTAGCTAATTTAAACCTAATTCGGCAAATGTGTGTTCTTTCTAATTTCTTCTGCCAAGTTAGGTTCTTCCATTTTAGCTACATTTCAGTATGTTTTTAGCTATTTTCAGGAAGCTCTTCAGCAATAAGCATTCACACTTCATTTTCACAGGAAATGCAATTTCTCTAGTATTTTTTGTTCTTAATCACTGTGGGACTTCAAAGGAGACTTCTCTAAAAACTCAAGTGAAGTAAAAAGGTACAAAATTTGTAAATATAAATTCTTTCTATTTGGTGCTATGTGACGCACGCTCCATCAAGGGAGCTCTGCTGAACTTACCTTGTGGATGAAAATGCAGTTTGAGGTGCTGCTGGATGTGAATCTGGCGTGGCAGCTCTAAATCTTCAGGATTGTCGGAGACGTGAACCTCGCCCTGCCTCTCTGTAGCAGCGGCAGAGTCCAGAAGGCCGCCTGCTGCTTCTGGATCAGTCAAGTCCTGCATGTTTTCCTGAGACACGTCGTCAGGCGTGAAGGAGACTGCCCGGGCAGGCGAGTAGGCCATGGTGGGGCTGGGGGTCGGAGCTGCAAGAAAACCAACTGGGAAGAACCGGTAAACATGTGAGAGCTTACATGCATGAAAACTTAAATTTAGTTAGTTCTTTACGCCTTTACGGTCCTTTCTTGATTACCGTTGGGCCGCACTTGTCCATGTATGTATCCCACGTTTGCTGAAAAGACAAATTTCTATAAAAACTGAAGTGAAACAGCAAAAAGTCAGCAAATGTGCACAGTATACTTACCATATCTATTAAGAGACATTCTCTCAGCTTCGCCTGCGAGCGCTGCTGTCGGCACCTCTCCCTTCACTAAAGGACCAGAAGAAAAAGAACAAATTAAAACACACACGTTAAAACTGAATGTACGAGGCGGAGGAGAGAAAGTGACAAACCGTAGGACTTTCCAGCTGAATCAGGCTCAAGAGGCCGAGGCTCATAATTTAAACCTGTTAAATACAAAATAATATGGTTTGCGTGTTCTCCTCTTTTCTTACTAAATACATTATTTTTCATCTTTTCTACCTTCAACTGCAGATCCAATGTTCTGCGTCTGGAATGCTCCTTGTTTCTCTGTAGAACGATTTGTCAGAATATAAATTAGCCCCTTTGTTAAATGATAAATAGGATCATAGAGCAGACAAAATACTCAAATTATCTTCTGTACCGTATTTCTCTGATTTTGCTTCTCCAAAACCCTGAGCCTGTGTCCCGTAAGGAACCTGTGCACCATCTTAAACAGGCAAAACATAAAGCGAGCAGGGTTAATAACACAACGTTAGAAACATGATGTTTTCATTAGCCTCACCATATTTTCCTGCTAATTTCCCAATATGTTGAAGACCAGCAGGTTCAGGCTGATATGGAGATCCAGTCAGACCTGAATAATGTGTAATATATAAATATTAGTTCATACAAGGCTTTATACACTTTTAAATAACTTAATAATTTAAATCATTACTATATTGGCCTGCAGATGTGGCCTCAGGAGTCAGTCCAGCTTGGTGAACGCCATAAGGATAGCCTCCATAACCTGCAAAGAAAGAAAATGAGCAGCTCCGTGAGATCCGGCACCACGACGGAGACTTCAGGTGAACTAAAACCCAAACGCTTCACTCACCATATTTCTGCAGCTTGTTTCTATCACTGCCAAGGCTGAGAAGTTGCCCACCGTTGGGGAAGCCTTCATATCCTGAGCTCAGACGGAGAATATATATAATCAAGACCTTCCATAATTTCAAGTGTTTCCAATTTACTTTCAACACTTTTGCCCTTAAAAGACAAAACTCAGTGAAAACTACTCATTTTTAGGGCTTCACACTGACCATGTTTCCCAGCTGCAGGATCCCCTCTCACACCAGTACCAAGTCCACCTGCAATAGTATGAAAACACTTTTTACAACAAATGTTTGATTTCTGTAGATGATGCTGCATGATGGTTCATGTTCTGGCAGCTCAGTAATGCGCTCCAGCTGGATGTTCTGGAGGGTTTACCTTCCCCTGCAGGCCCATACGGGTTCACTCCATAACCTGGAGAAACGAGGTCAACCGTTCAGATGTTAAAATCAGATCGCATCGATGCTGTGCACAGTTAGCATAACAACAAACGTACCATACTTTCCTGCACCGTTAACAGCTGGCTGTTCACCGAACTGCAGCCCACCGACGCCTGAAGCAGCGTAAAGTTGGGATTGAACAAACGAGAGATTAGTTTAAATCTGTTTCAACATGCATTGGTGTGAACGTTGATTCAACACTTCTTATATTTCTTCTGTACATTTTTTCAACTATCGTTTTTAAACCATTCATATCAAAAGGATGGGCTCAGTCAAGAACATGAAAGTGTTTCTTTTCTAACGTTTATACTTTGAATTATTTAACTATTTGCACAAATTTTCACTATCGAAATACATCGAGATTCCTTCACTTACTGGAAAAACATTCTTGAAATTTACTTTATACTTTATTTTTGTCTTGTGCAAATTTTAGCTTTTCCCTGCGATCTTGCTAATTGGAGCTTTTAGCTACAATTGTGTTTGAGCTTTTAATCGATTTTAGCTTTTTGCTAGTTTTGCTAGCTTTTGCTTCATGCTACATTTTTTAAGATACAATTTTGTTACTTTAAGCTTTTAGCTACAGTTTTGATCATTTTAGATTTTAGCTACTGTTTTGCTGATGTTAGCATTCGTTCGGCTCGTTTTAATGCTCACCATCCTTCAGAAAGTCTCAGCTGCATTTTTACAGAATCTTGTGTTTCTTCCCACTGAAACTCACCGTATTTTGTGTTTAATTTCTCTGCGCTCATTCCGAGCGTTTGGCCTCCAAAAGGTGGACCTTGCATTCCTGTAACATTAAAAGTAATTTTATTGCGTTTTATTTTCAGCACGTTCTTTAAATCACTGAACGGTGAAATGGTTCAAGCAAACACAAACCAACAGCCTGGTTTACCATTTGGATGAAGACCAGCAGTTTTCTCAAACTGACTCATTCCTACATTTGTACAAAGAAATTCATGTCATTTCTGTCCACTTCTGTACATTTTCATACTGTACTAAGGTATAAGACGATCATCTGTGTTACCATCAATTCCAGCTGAGGCTGCGTTGAATGGAAGCTGTTTGGTGCCACCTGTAGAGTCACAGTTTTATAACTTGTTCTAATAAAAACATCTTCATGCTGACAGGGTCACTCTGAGCTCTTACCGAACCGGCCGTCTGCAGGAGGGAAACCTTGTCCAAGAGCTGGAAAAGGAGAGAAATGTTGAGGTTTCCCATATTTTACATAAAGCAGGGATTATCCAGATTATATTTCTCATTGTGTTACCTGCATGGTCAGACTGTCCACCTGTACCAAAGCCGTTTAGAGACCCTGTTTAAATAAAATAACACAATTAGAAAAGCAGACCAAAGGCTTGCAAATACTATTTGAACATGTAATCAATTATTTTATCGGGTAGGTTTCATAATAAAATGTTAATCTCAGAGTTACCTGATCTATATTTGGCTGCTTTACCAACATTTCCTAATAACAAGAAAACAATTAAGCCTTTTATAAAAGAGTTTAGTTTCTAATGAAGCATATTTTCTGAAACCATTGTATACCTAACAAAAAATAAATAAATTTGAAACTGAACCTCTGTATAGATTTCCATTAGCAGCCCCGAGGTAGGCTCCTTGTCCATAACCTGAGCACAAACAGCCAAGTTCACTGACTGCAGTCCACATTTTTAATTTATACATTTTCTTTTTAAGAATTACTTCGAAAAAGTCACTTACCAGGTTGTGCCATTTTTCCACCATACGGATCCCCATGGCCTGTATGCACAAAGCCACTTTGTAAAAATTAAACTGCAACGTTTGTTGGAATTAAAAGGGAAAACCAGTAAGAATCTCTGGCTGTATTACCTGCTCCATATCCAGTGGTGAGCCCTGGAAACTGGTGGCCTCCTGCAAAGTAACCTTTGAATGAAGAAATCTTTATTAGAAAAGCTAAAAACCTGACAAGTGTTTAAAACTATAGTTATATTTTCCATTTTAGATTTGGTTTTAGAGCAGCTCATGACCTGAATTGCATAGAACATGTGTAACAATACTGTGAAGCTTTTCTTTTTCAGATATTTTAGAGAGAGCGAGAGAGAGAGAGCAAAAGAGAGAACATTAATCACCATCCCAACATTAAATTTACCAGGTCTTAGTCTGCCCATTCTTTGTCCATCAGGCCCACAATCTGCAACATCAGTGCATGAGAATAAATGCATTTTTAAAACACTTGGAGTCATGCTCAGATTAAAAGTACAGGTCAGAAAATTTGCAAAAAAGCAGCCGAAGTCCAAAGATAAACGCCGAAAGACGTTCAGAAAGCTTGAATAACTATTGATCAAAACCATCTTAAAATATTACAAGAAAGTCTGACTCCTTGGAAGTGAAATACAAATCTAGGCTGGTTGGAAGCATTCAATAGACTTTTTTTTAGTGCAACTGCATAAATAAAACAAATTACTGCAAGTACTGACTGTCTATGAGATGCTGAGTTAGAAGAAATTAAACAAATGTTTACCAGGTTTAGTTTGTTTCCCTCCCTGGCTCTTGGAAACTGAAAGTCCACCTTCTGAAAATAAAACGGAAAAATTGGAGCCTGGTAAAGAAAAAGATTCACGGTTCCTCTTATCAGAAGTTTATTTGTTCACAAGGATCCTCTTAAATCAGTGTGTTAAACTCATTCCGCTCATGCACTGAATATAATAAAAAACATGTTAGAATGAGAATGAAAAAGGTCAAAACTCAAGGTGGAGACACTTTTAGTCTGACAGGATGGTGGACATGAGCTCCTTTAAAACAGAAGCATTGATTATTTCTGTAACATGGCCCTGTTGGGTAAAGGATTCAACGCGACAGGAGTTATTTTCTGAGACAACAGTGAATAAAACATGCGGCAAAGAAACAGATTGGGATTACTCAAATCATCCAACCCACAATCCACTAACTCGTTACTGGGCAGCACAGGTCGCCTCAAACTCACTGATCAGGCAAGTTAGACTGAAGAGTGCGCAGCTTCTTAAATCCTGTAAACCAACTTTAAATTTAGGACAAGCAACAGATTCAGGCTGACATGCAGGCCGACCCCGCTAGCAGTTTACCAGCTGCCCCTGCAGGAGGACCTCTGACCCCAAGCCTGTCGGGTTCAGTCTCAGCCCGGCTCGGGGGCGTTTCTTCCTCTGCTGCAGCTTCGGGTACACCCTGACTCTTTGCTTCTTCAGGACGGACGCTTTCTGTGCTTTTATCTGCTGCTGGCTCAGGAACATCTTTGGATTTTGGGGGTTTGGTGCTCTCGGAGTCAGCATCCCCTTCAGCACGCCTGTCAACCACCAGAACATCTGCTTCTGCAGCGTTATGCTCAGGAACAGCACTTCCAGTCATAAAACCTAGAGGCCACACATTTCATTCACTTGTCAAATGATTATCTAATTTTCTCGCAATAACTCCATCCTTATAGTCAAGTTCTGAGTTACTTTAAAAGCTTCCCAGAGTCAAAGCATTGAACTCAAATTGACATCAGGTTATTTCTCATGACTGACAAATGATCATGATTGAAGAATGACAAATAATTCCTTTTACTATTCATTATCATACTAAATAATGGGACCTCTTCTGCTAAACCAAGTCATATAATGAACTTTAGAGGCGAGTGCTCCTCAGATAAATAATTTTATTACCATATTTTCCAGCGTATAAGCCACACCTTTTTGCGTGAAGTTCTGCGATTTATACACCGAAGCAACTAATATGTTTTTTTCCCTATATCTATAACCCAATTTGACTTTGAAATGTTCATTCATAGACATGAACCAGTAAACATCATCAGTTGCAGCCACTAGAGGACCCTCTAGGCATTTATATATTGTTCCTCTACACAGCTACCTTCGCCCCCCCACCCACACATACACACAAACGTTCACAGAGACAACTGAGAAAAACTTAACACAAGTCAAATGCTCCAAAACAGAAAATCCTATTCTGCAGATTACAAACTACAGGTAATAAATATGCAGCCCAAAACAGTAATCGAGCATCAGAAAGAAAGGTCATAAACAGGTCGGGTCCGTGCAGTCAGTCCAGGGGATTCAACCCGGTGGAAGGGACAGCCACATGATCCCCCCCTTGTGGGGAACATTCCCCCGGTGTCTGGCTGGCTCTCGCTGGGTGCATTTCCTCTGCGGCTGTGCACCACCCACCCATCCATCCATCCATCCGTCGCAGCTCCAGCTGCAAGCTCTACAGCCTTCCTCCGTCACCCAAGCTGGGAGAAATGGGGCAACGGAGCGCTTGTTCTGCGCCCCGGGAAGCAGCGAAGTGCAGGCAGACGGAGGCTCCAGAGCTCGAGGCTGGAGCATTAGTCCCCGCTCCGCTGCCAGAGCGGGGAGGAACACCAGTGCCCAGGCGAAATGAAGCTGATTTTACCAGTAAAGTGCATTTATTAAGGAAAAGTTAAACATAGACACACCTTTGTTATAATGTCGAGCAAACAAATAATTGTTTTAAAGTGTTGTCTTGTTAAATTTTTGTTAAAGTCCTACTGTGCACGCTCCCATGGCCGCCATTTGGCAGCCAATCGATTTTTGGCACAACAACGACCCACGTTTCTGGGTGGTCAGAAGTGACGCATAATAGATGAGACTTATACGCCGGAAAATACGGTAACTCACTTTTTATATACATATATGAATATTTCTGTTCAGTGCTCTGAGATGTCTTCTGTTGCAACTTGGCGCTATATAAATAAATTGAATTGAATTGGTCAGGAATAAAGTGGATACGTTTTTTTGTTTTAACTTTTTGATAACGTGAAATTAAGTATTTGCCCAACCCAATGAGTTAATGATCAACAGTTGTACATTTACAAGTGATTAACATTAGGAGCCAACCCAAATCAAGATAGCTTCCACAGCTAAACTTTAGCCAATTAAAATGACCATAACTCAGTCAATTCAACTGATTTTGAGCTAAAGTTTGAGGTGGTAGTAGTTGATAGTTATGCCCAGCACATACTCTGAGTGCTAACAGATGTTGCGAGAGCTATACAGTGCTTATTTTTATAAGGTTTGACCAAAATGACTATAATTATGTTGTTTCTCATCACAAAATAATTTTAGTTAAACACTCCGCAGCAGGTGAAATACATTCCATCAAGGAATACTAGGCCTTTATTTTACATTTATGTTAAGCTTTTATAGGAGTAAATAAATATAATATACTGTACAGAGTATTGACTAGATATTTTCATTAGTTTGAAAAAAGATAATAAAAAAAAAACAGAAGAGAAAAAAAATTTCAGCCATCTTTCCCACAGAGAAAGAACAAAATCTTCTAAATAAAATAAGCTTGAATGATTGAAACAGTTGAGCCCATTCTGACTTGATGTAAAGTGAAGCCTACTTGCCTTGAGAAAGGACTGCTGCTGGTTCTGGTGCAGGATTGTTCTGCAGAACCACAGGTGCATCAGGAGCTGCTTCTGGAGTGGCTTCAGGGAATAGCTGTTTCAGTTTGTAGCTTTTATCTTGTGGGGCGAGCAGCTTTTGGTATTTCTCATTTTTCCCAGAGACAAGGTCTCCATATTGTGGGGCACCCAGAACTTCACCGTGAGTGATCGCTTGTTGAGGACCAACATCCTGCATTTGTGTTGCAGCCTGATGCTGAGAAGGAAACACTCCACCTTCAAGGCTTTTCTCATTGGAGAAATCTGCACCTCTAACAGCTTGACCCATCCCATAACCTGGAAACCAAACATGAAGCTAAATTTACAGAAAACTACAACAATCAATAAAACATGAAAACAATAAATGTAAAAAAAATTAACATAAAATGACTTTTGCTCACATCACACATTTATCAGCAGCACAAACAATTTACGGTGGTAAAGTATGGATTTGTAAGTGCTGATGCTTCTTAATGATGAAATCTCAACAAAACAATTGTGTTCAGGAAATTTGAATGAATCGTTATTAAACTAGTTTCATCACCATTGCTCGAGGACAAAACTCCAGCTCCCTTTGTTATGTGAGGTTTTGGGCCTCTGCTCTGTCCATACCCTGTAAACAGTTTTTAAATGAACACAATGGAAAAATAACAAAATATATCATTACTGGTTCACCCCAGAGATCAACTTAATGCCAAATTACCCCTAAATGTGACTTTTCTCTTAATATGTTCACATAAACTTGCTGATAACATCTTACCATTAACTGTACCTCCATATCCTCCCAGGGCAGCGCTGTTACCATTTATGTGGCCTTGTGAGAAAATGTCAAACAATAGTAAAAAGTGTCAAATGTAAGAACTCAAAACATTGTTTTAAATCTGCAATAATAAATCTTTATAATTTAAATGTGTTTAAATTCACAGAGTTGGCCAGTTTTGTACTGAATATCACTGTATCATGACAGTTAAAAACTAAGTCAAAGTTTTCCCAGCTCTCTTAAAGGTATAGTTCAGATCATTTGAAGTTGGGTTCGGCAGGGACAATATGAACCATTATTATCTTACCTGCTGTCAATAACTCACGGAACAACCTCAGCTTAGAAAATTAAATCTCAATTCAGACTGGCCTGATGAGCTAATGGCTAGCCTGAGTGCTGAGGTGAAGACCAAAGTGGATTGCGGTTGTCTTAAAACAAATCAACTCTAAAAAATATATTCGTAGGGTTTCATGTGAACTCAAACTCAAACTTTTACATTGCAGTCAGTTTCATGTTACTCCAGCAGAAATAGGATATTCTGACAGGAAGTGTTACAGCTAGCTCCTGCTAATTTACACTTGAAAATAACCATCAAATTTGATGTCAATAGCCATGGGATACAACACTAAAATGTTTATAAAATCGGGTTTGCATAAAAGCAAAAAAAACTTTGAGATGGAAGTAGTGTTCTTTGAGTAACTGGTAGTTCATCAATTTGATCAGAATTAAACTATTTTTCCAATCTGGGATTTTTCAAAGTGTTATCTACAACAGGGATGATATTAACTCTACATAAACTACTTACAAACCTCACTTCAAAATATCTGAACGAGCACTTTAAGGTTCTAACGGGATTTTAACTTGACTGAAGCATTGACTTTGAATCTCTGCAAAACCTTATATCTGTTCTTTGTTATCCATGATCCCAACACATTAAGAGTAACATTTTTTTAATGAAAATAGATGGAAGTATTTTTAATTTGTTTGCTTACTTTCACCTTTATTGAAAACTTGTCACCAATTACAATTTAATTTATCCATTTCATATTCAATATTAATTTTACCAGCTTTCCCAACAATTGGAGAAGGAATGCTTGCCGTTTGTGTTTTGTTAATTAGATACTTGGGAGATTAAATTATGTGAAAGAGTTTATTAGTATGATGTGGCCTAATGTCCGATAATCTTCGTCAAGGCCCCACGTTGGGCGCCAAATGTTGTGGGCAAACAACACGCTGTCTGTGAAATGGATCAAGATGCATTTCAATAATCTTAAAACGTTCATAAAAAACAGATGACACTGAATCTCTTAATGATAGCAAGAATTGGGGTGTACTGAAGAAGTACAGAATGTAGACCAGCTAAACAGCATCAGAATCCAAAAAGCTCCCCCCCCCCACACACACACACACACAAAATCAGACTTTCAGATTTTCACAAAGCTTTTATACTGTTCTTAATCCCTTGTGCCATAATTTGATGCCACTTGTCACAAGTTTAACAGTCGCTTGACTTTGTTAAATTTTGATTTGTACATAAAAATGTGTGGATCATCCACATAATGTTTGAAAGCAGTGCATTACCGTTAGTTTGGGGGCTGTATCCTTTATGAGCTCCAGCACCAGCAGCTCCATAATCTTTAAACATATATTTTATAGTTACATCTTTAAAAAAAAACTAGGAATGCGTAAAAAATAATAATAAAAAATGTGCAGATATAAAACTATATCAGTCACCTTTGGGTTTATATCCATATCCATTAGAAGCAGCTCCATTCAGATAACCTTGAAATCAAATACATTATTACAGTGAGTGGTTTTACAGTTTTAGTCATTTGTTCTTTTTTTTTTTTATTATTATTATTATTACCTGACTGGGATCTCACAGCACCGCCTTTGGAAGCTCTGTATCCTGTCATATAATCATGAACAAATGTTATCATGCAATTGTATGGATCAAGATGCATTTCAAATCAAAAGATTTAATAAATTTTACCATTAGGTTTGGCTCCATAACCATTCGGAAGATTAGTAAATCCTACAAAAAAACAAGAGTGATCGATTTAACAAGATACCCAACAGCAAGAAGTAAACAAAAGTAAAACTGCATATTAGGTGCAAAATACTCAAATAAAAATTTTCAGGCAAGGTATGGCTCCAAAATAATATGTAGATATTGTGGCTGAACCTGGTTTATCCGGTTTGGCAGCTCCAACACTTGGATTTCCATAACCTGAAAAGTTTCACAGACAGCATGAATTAAAACCTGTCTTATCCTCGAAGTCCTAACATGTTGACAAAAGTTATAACTCACCACTTTGCAAGGCTCCATTTCCATTCAGTCTTTGTACTCCAGCATACCCTGTTACAGGACAATGATGTTAGGACTCAACATTTTTATTCAAAGTTTTGTGGAAGGTATTATACTGAATAACATTTAACTTTAGATTTCACACCTTGTCCATCGGATGCACCAGCTGCAGCCCCATAACCTAAAATATTAGTACCATCAGGTTGAGTCTCGAAGTAAAACATGCATCTTAGGAAATATTAAAGTTTGAGGAAAAACTATTTTCTCTCGGCAGTTAGCCTCATCATACCTGGAACTGGACCCTTCATTCTTCCATGTCCATAACGAGGACCCAGACCCAAACCAGCAGCACCATAAGCTCCTCTGTAGTCTAAAAACACATTTCACCTACATATAAACTAGACAATTATGTTTTATTAAGGCTACCAAGAGTTTAAATAAATCACAAAGTTAAACTTCACACATGTAACTTGTTTTATGGAACAAGTTACAGGAACTTGTAGGTTTGATCATATTTCACCAGTTTTGTCCTCCCTTCACTGGCTCCCTGTACATATTGAATTAATTTTAAACTTCTGTCTGCCTTTAAGTGCATAAATGGCCTTGCACCCTCATATCTCTTTGACCTACTTCAACCGTATGTTCCTTCTCGGGCTGATCATCTGATCAGCTGCTTTTGGTTGTTCCAAAAACCAGGTAGAAGCTCAGAGGAGATCGGGCTTTTTCAGTCGTGGGCCCTAAACTCTGGAACAATCTGCCCCCCAACATTAGACAGGTCACTTCACTTCCTGTTTTTAGATCTCTCTCAAAAAAAAAAAAAAAAATACAACTGTTTTCACTGACGTTAACACTAATTTGATTTAGTATTTCATAGATTTTGCATTTTTGTTTTATTTTTGATGCTTTAAATTACATCTTGTAATTTTTTTTTCTTTAATTACTGCCTTGATCTTATTGTTAAGCACTTTGGTAATAGCTGTTTTAAATGTGCTTTATAAATAAATTTGACTTGACTTTATGGTTTTTACAATTATAGTTTAAATTTTATGATTTTACAGATTTTTTCAGTTGATGTCACTAAATTTTAATATATCCAGATTTCAAAATATTTGCAAACAAAACTTTTTTCCTCATCTTTTTTGGTACATATAGAAATTATACAACAAAATATTGTTATTTTTTCTTCCTTCACCTCTGCCGTAAGATTTCATTCAGGCTTTACTTATACAGGTTAGTCTCATTGAGACACAAGGACTCATTTACAAGAGAAACCTGATTTAACCAAAACCACAGATAAGGTGCACACAACAATAAACAGCCAAAAAAAGCATACCAAATTTAAAAAGTGCCGGTAAATAAAAGTAGTGATATAAAATAAAAACAAGCTACATTATGAAACGGGGTAAAATACTAAAAACAGGATCATGTCTGCATTCATCTTTGCATTGAATTTAATTGTTTAAAATCTCTTGGACAGATCAAAGTCGACAGCTTCAGATCTTTTTGCAAGGTGTTCCAGGTTACAGGAGCAGAGTAACAGAAAGCCCTTTTGCGGAATTCAGTCCACAGAGGGGACGCTGCAGGTACTGATGTCTTGAAAGCACACGCTGTAGCTGCACTGACGACGTGACATGTAGGAAGAGATATACAGGTGCTGGTCATAAAATTAGAATATCATGAAAATGTTTATTTATTTGAGTAATTCCGTTCAAAAAGTGAAACTTGTGTATTATATTCATTCACTACACACAGACTGATATATTTCAAATGTTTATTTCTTTTAATGTTGATGATTATAACTGAAAACTAATGAAAACCCCAAATTCAGTATCTCAAATTAGAATATTACTTAAGACCAATTTAAAAAAAAAGATTTTTAGAAATGTTGACCAACTGAAAAGTATGAACATAAAAAGTATGAACATGTGCAGCACTCAATATTTAGTTGGGGCTCCTTTTGCCTGGATTCCTGCAGTAATGCCGTGTGGCATGGAGTCGATCAGTCTGTGGCACTGCTCAGGTGTTATGAGAGCCCAGGTTGCTCTGATAGTGGTCTTAAGCTCTTCTGAATTGTTGGGTCTACTGTATCACATCTTCCTCTTCACAATACCTCATAGATTTTCTATGAGGTTAAGGTCAGGCGAGTTTGCTGGCCAATTAAGAACAGGGATACCCTGGTCCTTAAACCAGGTACTGGTAGCTTTGACGCTGTGTGCAGGTGCCAAGTCCTGTTGGAAAATGAAATCTATATCTCCATAAAGTTGGTCAGCAACAGGAAGCATGAAGTGCTCTAAAACTTCCTGGTAGACAGCTGCGTTGACCTTGGACCTCAGAAAACACCGTGGACAAACACCAGCAGATGACATGGCTCCCCAAACCATCACTGACTGTGGAAACTTGACACTGGACCTCAAGCAACATGGATTCTGTGCCTCTCCTCTCTTCCTCCAGACTCTGGGACCTTGATTTCCAAAGGAAATGCAAAATTTACTTTAATCAGAAAACGTAACTTTGGTCCTTTTTGTCTTTAGTCCTGGCAAGATGCTTCTAACGCTGTCTCTTGTTCAACAGTGGCTTAACATGAGAAATGCGACAGCTGAAACCCATGTCTTGCATAGGTCTGTGCATGGTGGTTCTTGAAGCACTGACTCCAGTTGCAGTCCACTCTTTGTGAATCTCTCCCACATTTTGGAATGGATTTTGTTTCACAATCCTCTCCAGAGTGCGGTTACCCCTATTGCTTGTAAACTGTTTTTCCTACCACATCTTTTCCTTCCTGTGGCCTCTCTATTAATGTGCTTGGACACAGAGCTCTGTGAACAGCCAGCCTCTTCAGCAATGACCTTTTGTGTCTTGCCCTCCATGTACAAGGTGTCAATAGTCGTCTTTTGGACAACTGTCAAGTCAGCAGTCTTCCCCGTGATCGTGTAGCCTACAGAACTAGACTGAGAGACCATTTAAAGGTCTTTGCAAGTGTTTTGAGTTAATTAGCTGATTAGAGTGTGCACATGGTGTCTTCAATATTTAACTTTTTCACAATATTCAAATTTTCTTAGATACTGAATTTGGGGTTTTCATTAGTTTTAAGTTATAATCATCAACATTAAAAGAAATAAACATTTGAAAAATAGTCTGTGTGTAATGAATGAATATAATTCCCTGAGGTCAGCGGACCAGTTGCTCCTCACTGTTCCAGGAACTCGTCTTAAGCGCAGAGGTGACAGGGCCTTCTCTGTAGCAGGACCAAGACTCTGGAACGAGTTACCTCTGCTTGTCAGACAGGCCCCCCTCCCTCTCGGTTTTCAAGTCCCGTTTAAAAACTCACTACTATTCAGTAGCTTTCAACACCAGATGATCTGTGTTTTGATCCCGTTTGCTCCACACTGGTTTGTCGTCATTATCTGCATCGTTTTTATGTCTATATTCTGATTTACCTCATTTTGTATTTTGCTTTGTGTTACCTGTTGTTTTGTCTGTACAGCACTTTGGTTGGCCTTGTCGCTGTTTTAAGTGCTCTATAAATAAAGTGGTATGGTATGGTATAAATACAAGTTTCACTTTTTGAATGGAATTACTGAAATAAATCAACTTTTTCATGATGTTCTAATTTTTTGAACAGCACTTGTATGAAGGCAGCAGACCAAGACTTGTTTTCCATCAAATCGTCTCACATTACAGAGTACACAGCCAAGCTTTCATAGACTGTTATATTTTAGCTGAAAATATTATTTTTAAAATTGAAAATGAATGGTCCTCAACTTGTCATACATTCTATTAAAAAAAAAAAAAGTATGTGACTGTCAGTTTTCTGCTGCTCCTGGTTCATAATGTTGTAATCTGTCTCAGTTTCAGCACAGCGATTGAGGTTTATTAGTTTTTTCAGTCTCTTATTATCCTGGCAGTCAGGGAGTGAGAAACAGATGTGTAGTTACCATGGTGACCTTGATGAGTCACTTGCAGAAAATTTTACTTTTTTTTTCCTTGGTTATTTTTCCACCTTGTACTGTTCATCAAATGTAGACATTTTTCTTGTTTTATATTTAAAGTGTTGTTGAGACTTTGGGCAGTAGCAGCATTGCTGCTTTTCAAAATCTGTTCAGGTTTCTAGTTTCAGCTTGACCCATGACCTCCACTCACCTTTCTCTTGATTCCTGGTGGACGGAGGTACTCCTACACCTCTGAAGGGTCCCATCACCTGCCCTGTGTTTTAAGAAACATATGTACAGATGTGTATATAAACCCGAGCAAACATGAAAGCTGATTTTCTACACAAGCAAACCAGTTTACCTGTCCCAGAAAGTGGTCGATTATATCCCTTCATGGGTTTCCTCCCATCTCCTCCCTGACCTGTTGAGTCAAAATACACATTCAAGGGAAACCACAAAAACAAAGTATATTTTTCAAAAGGGCTTTATATTTTACTACCGTTTGCTCGTGCTCCGTTGCCACTGGACGGGCCAGCTACCACTCCTTGACCTGAGGAATAATCATTATAATCATTAGTTTAGATATATCTTTATCTCTCCATATTAAGGCTATATTTGCCAGTCTCCTTTTCAGTAGTAGATCCAGCCCCATAGACGCTTACCTTTGGTTGCGTATGCATTTTGTGCAGCTGCAGCAGCATTACCTACAAATTTAGGCAACATCTCAAATTTACTTTTTTTTCTCCTCGTCCATCTTTTACACAGAAAGAAGACTGAAAGCCCAGACAAATAGCTAAGATGTGTCACATTAAAATATAGGAATTATCTGCATTTTGACATTCAGATTATAAATGCAAGCAGTAAGAGCCACAATTGTCAGGGTTTTTGTTTTTTTCAGTTTGACTATAAAAACAGCATTTTTAAGTTTCCTGTGAAAGAAAAGGTTTTCTAACAGTATGCATGTTAAACTCAATCCTGAATCTGACCGAGAGCGCCATCACATCTAAAGTACCGTTGTCTCTGGTGTGTTGTCCACCATTTCCAGCAGCCTGAGCACCGTAACCTGTACGAACAAAAACTGATGTAAAACCTGACCCTCAATGTGTGAGAGTTTGATAAGAAATGTGTTGGACCACCTTTCATTTGTTGTCCATTTGTTGGGCCGGCTAGAACTCCATGACCTATAAACAACATAAAAAAAAAAGCAATGATCACTAAATAAACCAAAAATATAAAGTAACAGGCAGACTGAATAATCACTTCTGATAAAAATCTGATTAATATTAGGGATTGATTCCCAATTTTTGGACATCCAACCCACAAAATTATTATGACAAATGCTCATTGCTCGTCTATTGCCTACTTCATTTTACAATTTTTACTAAGAACTCTCGTGCTATGCGTTATCATACAGTACATACAGTACCATACAATGGTGAAATTTGTTCTCTGCATTTGGCCAATCGCACCTGGGATGCACTCAGGTGGGACAGTGGGCAGCTATGTGGGTGCCCGGGGAGACATTAGGGATTGGGTGTCTTGCTCAGAGACACCATGACATGTGGGAATGGATCAAGCCTGGGATTTTCAGATCCTGGGTCGGCTGCCCCATCTCTACCCCATCTTGGCCCCTTTTAAATAAGGGAGTAAAATACTACAATAAATCTTAATCACAGTACTTATGGTAAAACTATAAAAGAGTTTGATTTAAATTTAAATGCACGTTAACATTTCGAGATAATCTTCAGCCTCCTACTTGATGCAACATGACCCACTTCATGGGGGTCCAGACCCTCACTTTGGAAATAATTCAGATGAAGAGTCTGGGAATCAATTTTGAGGTTTTATCATTTATTTTGTGTATGAAAAACAGGGATAGATGGGATTCATTTTACTGCTCAACGTCCATCCATCCATTATCCTTTACCAGCTTCTTCCATTTTGGGTCACGGGGGTCGCCGGCACCCATGTCCAGCAATCACTGTGCGAGGGGCAGGGTACACCCTGGATGGGTTGCAAGTCCATCACAGGGACACATGGAGACAAACGAGACAAACAACCATTCACTCTCTCATTCACACCTAGGGACAATTTAGAGTTACCAATCAGCCTAACATGCATGTTTTTGGTCTGTGGGAGGAAACCAGAGTACCCGGAGAAAACCCACGCATGCACAGAGAGAACATGCAAACTCCACTCAGAAAGGCTCCTGGACCGGGATTTGAACCAAGGACCTGCTCGCTGAGAGGCAGCAGCTCTACCTGTTGCACCACCGTGCTGCAGCTCAACATACAGTGTATCCATAAAGTATTCACAGCACTTCACTTTTTTCACATTTTATGTTACAGCCTTATCCCAAGTTGTATTAAAATAATCTCCATCCTCAAATTTCTACACACAATAGCCCAGTATGACGGGAAAAGATTTGAGATTTTTGCAAACTTATTAAAAACATAAACCCAAGAAATCACATTTACTTTGTATGTAAGTATTCACAACCTTTGCTTTGTTGATCTACCTCTGGCAGCAATTACAGCCTCAAGTCATGACGCTTCAAGCTCAGCACACCTAGCTTTAGGCAGTTTGTCCCATTCTTCTTTGCCGTACTTCTCAAGCTACATTAAGTTGGACGGACGTCTGTTCACAGCTAGTTTCAGATATCTCTGTTGATGTTCAATCAGATTAAAGTCTGGACTCTGGCCTTGGCCATTCCAAAACCTTCACAAAGTGGTCCTGACGCCACTCCTTTGAGATCTTGGCCATGCGCTTTGGTTCGTTGCCCTGCTGGAAAAATGAACCGTCGCCCCAGTCTGAGGTAAAGAGTGCTCTGGAGCAGGTTTTCATCCAGGATGTCTCTGTACATTGCAGCATTCCTTTTGCCCTCTGTCTCAACTAGTCTGCCAGTTCCTGCTGCAGAAAAACATTCTCATAGCATGATGCTGCCACCACCATGCTTCACTGTAGGGATGGTGTTGACCTGGTGATGAGTAGTGCCTGGTTTCCTCCAAACATGATGCCTGGCATTCACACATCTTTGTCTCATCAGACCAGAGAATTTTGCTTTTCATGGTCTGAGGTGCCTTTTGACAAACCCCAGACGAGCTGCCATGTGCCTTTTATTAAGGTGGATTGCTGCAGAGATGGTTGTTCTTCTGAAAGGTTCTCCTTTCTCCACAGAGGAATGTTGGAGCTCTGACAGAGTGACCATCAGGTTCTTGGTCACCTCCCTGACTTATGCCCCTTTTCCATTAGTACCGGTACTAATGGAAAAGGGGCATAAGGCCCTTCTCCCCCCGATGCATCAGTTTAGACAGCAGCCAGCTCTAGGAAGAGCGTGGTGGTTCCAAACTTCTTCTATTTATGAAGGATGGAGGCCACTGTGCTCATTGAGACCTACAAAGCAGCAGAAACTTTTCTGTATCCTTGCCCAGATTTGTGCCTCAACACAATCCTGTCTCGGAGGTTTACAGTTTGACTTCATGCTTGGTGTTTGTGCTCTGACACGCACTGTCAGCTGTTGGACCTTATGTAGACAGGTGTGAGTTTCCAAATCAAGTCACTCAACTGAATTTACCACAGGTGGACTCCATTTAAGTTGTAGAAACATCTCAAGGATGATCAGTGGAAACAGGATGCATCTGAGCTCAATTTTGAACGTCATGTCAAAGGCTGTGAATACTTACGTAAATGTGATTTCTTAGTTTTCTATTTTTAATGAATTTACAAAAATCTAAAAAAATATTTGTTCACATCGTCATAATGAGGTATTTTGTGTAGGATTTTGAGGGAAGAGCTTATTTTAATACAATTTGGAATGAGGCTGTAACAACAAAATGTGGAAAAAGTGAAGCGCTGTGAATACTTTTCGGATGTCCACTATAATTTTGCTTCATCGGTTTATAGTTTCATCACACAAACAATTTCAGAAAACTGTTGCCTTTAGTTCTCTGCTCACCATATCCACCAGCCTGAGCACCGTAACCTGCAACGAGAACAAGCCTCACATCACAAAACCCTTCACTGTAGTTTGTGTTTACACGGTGTGAAATAGAATATCCTATTTGCATGTTGTAAATGTTAAATTTCATCTAGAATACTACTGCCTTTAGCTCTTGGCCCACCGTAACCTCCAGCATGAGCACCGTAACCTGCAACAAGAACAAACGAATTAAAAGACAATTTTCATTGTGTGTGTGTGAGTTCTGTCACTCTTGTGTTGCACCACCTCTCGCCTGCTGTCCAACTGATGGGCCGGCTTTAACATATCCTGCAGCAAAAACACAAAATGTTTCTTATTTAAAGGGATTTTAAAGGATTTATTCCACAGTTAGGATTGTTACTGAGCGTCATGCCATGTCTGTTGGGTGAAACTGCAGGAATTCCTTTTTTATTAAAGCATCAAAGACCAAAAGGTTAAAGTGACACAATCACATTCCTTTAAGCCCAACATAAACAACCAGGCTGTTGTATTAGCATACAAATAAAGCCTTTAGAGTGGTAGCGTTTTTTTTATTTTAATTAAAAAAAACTGAAGTTAAAATGGTCACAACTCTTAAATCTTGTGTGACCAAATCTAGACCATCTAAAACCATGTTACCTTTATTTACTCCACCATATCCACCAGCTTGAGCTCCGTAACCTAAAATAAGAAAAAAAAACTTTAAAAATGAAACTTTTTTTTAAAACACTTGAGACAGCATATGATTAGAAATAAAAAAAATATCACCTTTCATTTGTTCGTTGGTTTGGCCAGCTAAAGCTCCATATCCTGTAAGAAGAATTACTGACTGATTACATTAAAAGGAGAGGATGATTTAAAAAAGTATTTCTTACACACGATCACACATAGTTTACTGCATCTACCGTTGAATCTGGCTCCATTTCTGTTGGGAAAAACTGCTGGAGTTCGTCCTAAATTAGAAACAATAAACAAGTGAAAAACAGTGAGGCTTTAAATTGCATTATAAAATTCATGCATGTTAAAAACCAAACAAAACAAAAACCAATTTGAATACTAAATTGCAAATAAAGCTATCTGGATTTACTGATACTTTATTTAAATTGATAGTAAATGGTCATTTTGAATTTAATAGTAAATTACATTATCTGATAGCTTTAAGGACACTGTTCTGTGGTTTTCAGCTGCATAAAGTTCAGTTTTCTTCACTGCATTTAATTTTTTTATACATCAAGTGATTTTAATGAACAACAGATCAGGAGTGCAGCAAATCTGTCTTTAAAATCTGCTTCAGCATGTTTGATTTATTCGTCAACTCCAGTAGCTTTTAGCTACCAACTCGCTAATTTTAGCTTTCATTTATTGTTTTTCAATGTAGCTTTTTTGCTACAGTTGAGCCAATTTTAACTTTTTGCAACAGCTTTGCCAATTACAACTTCTTGGTATAGTTTAGCCAAATTTATTCTTAACGGTTTTGTAAATTTTAAGCTTTTAGCAACTGTCTTGTTACATTTAGCATTTAGCTACTGTTTAGCTAGATTTAGCCTTTAGATACAGTACTGCCACAGTTTTGCTGGTTTTAGCCTTTAGCCATTGTTTCTTATTTTAGTCTTTAGTTTAACTACTTTTAATTTTAGCTATTAGTTTTGCTAGCTTTAGCCTTTAGCTATTTTATTGCTACCATTTTGCTGATTGTATCATGTAGCAAGCATTTTGCTGGTTTTATCCTTTAGCCATTGTTTTACTTATTTTAGTCTTTAGTCATTTTTAATTTTAGCTTTTAGTTTTGCCAACTTTAGCCTTTAGCTATTGTATTTCCACCATTTTGCTGATTGTAGCATGTAGTGAGAGTTATGCTGGTTTTATCCTTTAGCTACAGTTCTGCTTGTTTTAGATTCTTAGTTTAGCTTGTGTTCTGATCGAGTTTGTTCTTGTTTTAACAAAAGTCAAGTTTCAGTCAATTCCATCAGTCTTTCAGCACTAAGTATTCATTCATTTTTACAGATATAGCAGCTTTTCTAGTTCTAAATTAATTTGTAGACGTAAGCTCAATTAAAAAAAGAAAAAAATCCATCCTTTAGATTATTTCCCCACTTGTATCAAAATATTTTGGCTGTACGTTAACAGATTTATTCTATGTATCATGCATTACACTTTAATTAAAAACATGACTATCCTTTTATTAAACAAAGGCTGAACGTGTTTAAGAGCCGTCGTACCGGTGCCTTTTGTTCCAAGTCCATATTGTGCAGCAGCAGCAGCGTTATTTCCTAAAATCAAGAAACAATTGGGAAAATATCAAAACCATTTTCATCATTCTTTTCATCATATTGCATTCTACTTTAATTTGCTTTTTGAATTGACGGAACTAATATTTATCACATTTCAGATGTTAAATATATAAGGTCATGTCTGTTTGTATAAATTTGACTTTCAGGGGTTCACAGGAAAACATTTTATACGTCTAGCTCAAACCCTAATTGGGATGTTGGTCATGTCTAAAATACCATTTCCTTTGGTTCTTAATCCACCGTATCCTCCAGCATGAGCACCATGACCTGTAGAAAGAACAAATCTTGAATTAAAACACCATCTTCAGTGTTTGAGTTTGATAAAAACGAGTTTCATACCATTTAGCTGTCGGCCATTTGTTGGGCCGGCAATAAATCCATGTCCTGCAAAGAAAGGAAAAATGTTCTGTTTTAGTGAATTGATCTGAAAGTTGAATAATTTCTTCTTTGGACTGAGATGGTAAAACTAAAGAGGTCAAAGTTTGTTATCTACCAGTAGACATGGCTCCGTTTCCATTGGGTAAACCTGCTCGATTTGCTCCTAATCAGAAACAACACAGTTACAAAAACTGGTGCATCGTCAACAGGGGCTGACCTAGAATCTGACCTTTAGGGGTGCCCAGCCCCCAGTACTGACAATGGCTCTTGGCTTGAACAACGCAGTGTCCATTGGCATCAGAAGCATTTGTAATGTGGGGGTGCTGTAGGGGGGTCTGGAGGTCCACCAGAAATTTTTGAATAAAGTAGATGCCATTTCCTGCGTTCTGGTGTATTTTAATGAGTTTTTAAACATCTACGTTTACTTACATAAGTAAACACTTGATTCAATAACTATTTTAGAGAGCTCGGCACAACAAGAAGCTAATATTAGGCTAATACTACCTGTGGAATACTTATTTATACCAGTTCATTCTACTTGCACTGTTATATTCTACCATGTTATTGTTTACTAGATTTCTTTTGGACCTTGTAAATATTATCGGAAGCTGTCCACTTTGATTTCTTTAAGGGATTTTAAACATTTGATAAGGTCAATAGACAAATCAAAGCAAATATGTTCCTGTTGATAAGGCACCTTGTTTTTATTGTTTTAGAACACTACTTTTTATTTTAATTGCATTTTGTTGTTGTTTATTGTTGTCTGTACTTTATATGTCGTCTGCCTAAAACAGGTCTGTCTTGTAAATGACTGAATGAGACTAAGCTGTATAAATAAAAGATTGAATTCAATTCAGTTCAGTTTATTTATATTGCACCAAATCACAACAAAGTTGTCTCAGGGCACTTTACAGGAACATTCACATACAGAGAAAAGTCAATTAGTAAAGTTCTCCATCTAAGGAAGCCAGCACTCGAATCTTTACTTCATCGCAGTCTCCCATCCTGAACAAGCACAATGGCAACAGTGGAAAAGAAAAACTCCCTTGAATTAATTTATATTTCTTTTTCACTTTTTGGTACTTTATTCTGTACTTTTATTGCATGCTTTAGAATCTGTTTTTTTAGCGAGTCGAATCAGTTTTTCTCATCCTGAACATTTTATTGCATTGTTGACCTTGTATGAACCTGCATTTGACAGAATCTAGCATAACAAGAAGTAGCCTGACCAACAGCTCTCCTCGTGTGAATAGAGCACACTCCAATTCTCACATGCATCCTAACACCCCACCCACACACCCCCACCCTTCCAGCTCCTGCAGGCAAGGGGTATTTCACTTCAGAACAAACTGAGGTCACCGATTGGTCAGATGCTGACAAGCCTACTGGATTGATTGACAGGTGGCATCAAGGATCCCACTCGTGAAAACCATCCATCCATCCATCCATTATCTTTACCCGTTTATTCTATTTTGGGTCACGGGGGTCGCTGGTGCCCATGTCCAGCAATCACTGTGCGAGGGGCGGGGTACACCCTGGATGGGTCGCAAGTCCATCACAGGGACACAATGAGAAAAACGAGACAAACAACCATTCACTCTCTCACTCACATCTAGGGACAATTTAGAGTTACCAATCAGCCTAACATGCATGTTTTTGGTCTAAATGTACCAGAATACACAGTTTGAGTTTTGCTATGACTTTGCTGAAACTCTCCACACAGTTAGGTTCATGCTTTTGTTTAAAGATGAAAAAACTGCAACATTTGTTTTTGCCATCACCTCGAGGAAAAACATTCTGCACAGCACTCAAAAACACACCCTCACTCATAAGTTTGTATTAATTTCACCGTTAGGTCTTCTGTTTGTATTTAGATATGTCAAAGATTCACCGCATTAAAGGCAGATTACAGGATCAGCTCACCTTTTAGTCCTAATCCCTTTCTCATTCCAGCAGCTGCTCCATAACCTTTAAAAAAAAAATCTGACTTTAAGACTGTTTTTTCAGACATCAACTTCAGAAAGTGAGCTTTAACATATCCATTATTACAGAAGTTATTTCACACCTCCACACTCCCCCCAGTAATTACTGACCTACTCCTTTGGTAGGATACCCAGCATATCCTTGCTGCTGTCCCATTGTCCGACCAACACCTTGTTGAAAATAAAAACACTAATTTTAGGTTTTGTACAAGATTAGCTTTTTAATGTTGTGGAAGTTATTTTACCTTTTGATGGCATCAGCAGGGACCCCACACCACCACCGTTCTGAGGCCTGAATCCTGACAGACATCACAAAAACATTATGAACCGAAGCTGCACTTCGTGTTGAATGAATCTAGTGAAGCAAACCATTTAGGACACAGGAAATGATACCATTAGGTCGTGGTCCGTGTTCGGTGGATACTCCATATGCTGCGCCGTAACCTTCAACACCCACAAAAAATTTAATCAACTGATACGGAGGAATACTAATTAGCATAAAGGTCACAACATGATTCTACATTCTGTTTATTTAATTTTAAAATACTCCATTATTTAACCCTTGGAATAAAAAAAAAAAAATCTTAATGTTTCTTTTTGCATCTTTCCATCATAGCTTGGTTTGTTTCAGTGCAGCAGCATAAAATATCGATTTATCTGAGGCTTCGCTCACTGCTGCGAAGGGTGAGAATGTTTTTGCCAAAATCTCTAACACTGAACAAACTATAAACAAAGGAAACCAAGGCCATTCATTTTAAAGTTTGTTAGAACTGAACAAAGATCAGGGTGGTCAGAGTTTGAAGCAAGTTTGTTTTGAGAATATTGAAGTTTGCATATTTACCTGTTAAAATTAGCATTTTTTTTATGGTATGTCAAGGTGATAAAATATGAAGCTGCTCAGATTTCTCAGTGCTCACTGAACAGCATAAATTTAAATAAAAGCACTTTAAATTAATTATAAACTAGAGAAATAGCATTTCTGTAAAAATGCAGTGTGAATGCTTATTGCAGAATAACTTGCTGAAAAACGGCTCAAATTAGCCAATAAATAAATAAAATAAACACATTTGCCCAATTAGGCTGAAATAAGCAGAAATTAGCACAAAGTGGAAATTGTCTGAAAAACAAGAAATTGGCCAACCCCTCAGCTAAATAAAAGCTTAAAAAAAAAAAAAAAACAGGCAGAAAGAAGTTACAGAAGCACATTTTTGCTGAATTAGGCTGAAAAAAAAATTTAATGAGTGCAAACAATGTGGAATTAGCTGAAAAAGTGAAAATTGGCATTGAAACAGCTAGATAGTAGCTGAAATAGCAGAAAATGCTGAAACTTGCAGAAATGAACTGAAAGGAGACGAACAAGCAGAGATTAGAAGAAATAAGTTAAAAGAAGCACAAAAATGTTAGCAGAAATAATCTGAAAGGAGCACAAAACAGCTGAAATTAGCCAAAAGTAGCTGAAAAAAGTTGAAATTTGCACATGGAAGCTGAAAGAAGCTGAACTGGAACAAAATGTGAAAGCAGCAGTAAAAGTTTGTAAACAGCTCTAAAGATTTGAAGGATGGAAAATAAGCTCAGTTAATTTTCTGTGAGGAGAAAAATAATGGCAGAAAAGGCTAAATATTTCAAAATGCAAAAGTTTCACAAATAAAAGTTATAGCACCCTTCTCCTGAACGAGCTGAACATTTTGATGTATTATATTTCTTGAAATAGCACGAAAAATTGTGGAACGAGAAAGATGCTGAAAATAAACGGAAGAAAAATGGATCTCAGTTGTGTGAATGCTTCAGAAACATTCACACAACAACAATTTGGCTCATTGTCAGGACATCAGATATCAGCACTGATTTATTTTGTAATGAACACATTCAGTTGCTTTTTCAGTTAAAAGTTAAAATAATGTGTTTCTTCTGTGTTGCTACTTGATGCATAACAATAAAAATACAATAAAAAATTTTTTTTAGGCCTTCACATTAAGAAAAAAAGTGTCCAGTTTAACTGAAAATTTAGATTCCTAGATTTTACAAACTGAATGTTGTCATTTGGTGAGATATTACTTTTACCTATTCAGACTCAACAGAAATCAACGGACTGTGTAAATATAAATATATATATATATATATATATATATATATATATATTTATTCTCACAGAGGGGTGTTAGATTTCGACTCCTGCTGCCACCGAAGCCAAAGTGCCTTTGATTTCACAAACAGAGTCCACAAAGTCAAATCTATCAGAAGAAACCAGCGTCGCTGCTCGTGTCGTTGGGCTTTCGGTTTAACACGACAGTTTGAAATTCGACAGGCAAACCTGAACACCTGAAAGACATTTGTCTCATTCCTCGAGTCGCCTGGAAAACCCAATTAGACTGAAGGAGACCGGCTGCTGGCAGAGTCTTCATGAACAAGTTTCACAAAGACCGTAAATACTCTGCGGTTTGAAAATATTCGACATTTCCTGAAAAAGACGTTTGGATACGAGCGTTCGTTCTAAAACTTGTATTACTATTCGGCATTGATGGTACCGTTCTATATGTGTAAGCCGCTCGCGCTGCAGACATTAATGCACCCCTATACAACCAGAGAGGCAGGCTTTTGAACAGTGTACTGGTTTTAGTGGTCATGGCATCCAAAAATAGTTTTAAACATTTTATTTTATCTGACCACGAAACAGTTTTTCACTTTGCCTCAGTCCATTTCAAATGAGCTTTGGTTTGGAGGAACAGAAGTGTTTGTGGATGGTTTTCACATATGGTTTCTTTTTTACGTTAAAGCTTTAACCAGTAGGTTACAGTGAACTATGTTTAGACCGTTAGTGGAAGTGTTCCTGAGCCCAAGCATGGATGTCCAGAACAGAATCAGACTTGTTTCTGATCCAGTAGCCACCTGAGGGTCAGCTATGGCAATGATGAGGCGCTCAAAGTTTTTTTTATGGACCCGTTGGTAAAAGTTTCCTCCATCCGTTTATTTGCACCACGTTTACAGCATTTGTAGCTCAAACTCTGTTTTTTCAGGAAGTTTCATTGCCATCCAGTTCAAAATAACCTTTTTTATTTTAAAAAATTTTTTTAAGCACGTTAAGTACGTAAGTTAAAATTAGGTTTTGTGAGATTTGTAAATGATTTCCACCACCACCCATCTGACATCCCAACTGTTTGGAACAGGGATGGAAATGAATGAAAGATTATTAGAATCCGTCGTCTGATTCAACTAGGACATCAACAGACTGCTGAGTTATCGTGGATACATTTAGACTTTTAGCACCATTACACATATTCAAGAAACAATATTATAAAAAAGCAGTAGAAGTAACATGGAATTCAACATGTGGAAGAAAATCGGTTTCATTTTCTAATAATTGAAGCAGGAAATTTAAAAAAAAAAAAAAACTTTTTTTTTTTAACTTCCCAAGATTATTTTTTTACACAAGAGTAGTCACTCAAACATTTCCTCACATCTTTGGCTGAAAGTTTCACTGTTTACATGCAGTGAACACATTTCACCCTCAGGTTATAATCTGTTCAGCTGGAAGCTTCCCAGAAACTAAACATAGAACTTAAAATAAAACGCAGAGTATAAACTTCTAAATGAAATACTAACAACTGATGCATGAGCATTTTGATCAGTGTTCAAATGAAACAAGTGCCACGACTAAACGTTTAAGCATCCAAAGTGTTTAAATTGTTTTTCTGAAGCTTAAACTCTACTTTTAAGACTTTGGAGCTTTCATAAAGACAACACAAAGGTGGCGAGTTAAAATTAAATTCATGAACTTCTGCAAAACTCTTTAGAAAGTCTCATGCACTTTCTCATCAAAAAGTCTGCAAGACTAAATGAGTCTAAAGTATTTTTTTTTTTAAAAGTCATGTGAACAAATTTAAATTTAACTCCTCTACAAAACTAAATACAAACAGGATTAGTCAAAGCACTGACGATCATCCCCGAAAATCTGTTGAACCAGAGAAGAGAAGACTCTACACAACAATAATCCAGTTAGAAGTTTATAAAATGAGCTCCTCTGTAGACCAACATGTCATCTTTTATTTTTAAAGTCAACCTGATGGCGTTTGTTCATTTCTGTTAATACAGCATTCACCTGAGCCCGTCACTCACCTCCTGCATGTGCTGCCACCAAGCACAGCATCAAGACACTCAGAAGGACAAGTCGTCCTGCCATGGTGGACCTGGAGGGAAGACAGGTGTAGAACCTGCAGGAGCAGAACGAGGAGGCTGAAGGAGGTGGTCTGAAGTGAGACCTTCACCCTGATCAGAGACTGATATACATTCTGTTGGGAGGAGTCCCTCCTTCCACTTCCTCCACTGCAAGGTCTGTTTGTTTTTTGTATCCAGGTCTTCCTCTGCATGCTGGGAGACAGTTAAAATGTAGAGCTAACGATCACTTAAACTATATTCACACAACGAAGGGAGTGTGCACCAAATGACATCTACTGTATAATACTGGACTGATCATTGAAATCTTTGTATAAATTATCACGGTCTGGTTCTGAAAAAAATCAGCAGTTCATTAAAAAAAAAATATATATATATATATATCAGAATGAATGATGTTGTGGAGAAATTTATTGTACACAGAGAACTGGACGTCTGAGAGAAAACAGGTCAAGGAAGCTGCCTAAAGGTCTACAGTAACAATGAAGAAGCTGCAGGAAGTTCTGACGTGCAATGATCTGTCCACGCATCTGGATTATGTGGTAGAGAAGTTTTACAACATATGCAAGATTTACGAAGTCTCCAAAAGCAGGAGAACAAAAGTGTTCTGGTCGGACGAAGTGGAAGTTCAGCTGCACGATTCACGAAGGCTTGTTTGATTCAGCACTAATATTACACAACAAAAACATCTCCACAGTGAAACATGGCGGTGGCAGCATCATGGTGGAGTTTATTCAGCTGGAACTGGGTTTTAGTCAAGGTGGATGTAAAAAAAGAAAAAACTATTCTAAAACCTGTTTAGACCAAAAACCTTCAGGTGTCTGCTGGAAAACACGAAGAGGAACTTTCTTTTTCAAACTGCGCCCGAGTGTCCAGATAAACACAAAAAGGCCTCACAAGAAGAAACTCTCCAGCGTCTACAGTTAAATTTGATGATTTGTGATGACCTGAAGAGCGGTGCAGATTTTCTTGCTTTGGAAAGATTGAGTCATTTTCCAGAGAAGAGTGAATAAAGAAGTCGGTGAGGCAGATGATAGAAGTCCTGTAATCACACCTGTGTGCACATCCTTCCGCACGCAACCACATTATTGCAGCTTTTAATTTTATTCTCCCTCAAATTTTCATTTTGATCATTACAATAAAAGTTGATTAGAATTTTTTTATATACACATTACAAATGCATTTTAATAACAGACTTCACATCCATGTATGAACTTTACAGACAAATCTAACATCCTTGTAGCATTTTTAAATATACACAGCAATAAGTTTTATTTCATTGCTTAGAAACTTGTTTTGATCCCGCTTAGAAATTTCCATTAACACATATAGTTTAGGGTTATCTTCACTTTGCATTAAGCTGCCAAAGTTATAAATATTAAGTTATTAAAATAGCAACATATTTGAAACTTGTTGCACAACAATGTGCATTTAAGACTTAACGTGCATCAAAGACTAAAGGACAGCACAGAGCCAAACAAGGAGCACGTCATGGATTTATGAAATCTTGTTGGACTAAATCATGTGCAAAAAATGATGTTACTTCAAAATGTAAATGAAATGGAAGCGGGAACTAAGCCTCCTTCAGCCTGCATGTTCCCACAGTGACGACCTACATGCAAATGTTTAAGCAGCCTCTTGTATATTTAAAGAAGAAAAAAAAACTGAGCTAAAAGAAAAGATCTCTCACCGTTCACAGATTCCTCACTTAAAGTCCAAATCCTGTTCTTATAGGGGTCAAGGAGAGGTTAAAGTCTCACCTCCCAGCCCACCCAGACCTCTCACATACTTGGCTCCTAAACAAACTGGAGCAGGTCAGACTGGAGTTTTACCATCTGCCGACAGTCGCCGATCATCCCAGTTCATCCAGATCTGGAACCATCAAACAGTCTTATGAGACGAATACAGCCAAGACTGCAGGAAGTCGGGCACGTGCGTCTTATTTTATGTCAGTGCTGCATGGTGGTTTTAATAGGCCATAGAAAGGACATGAATTTAAAAAAAAATCTGCATATGTAGGAAATAATCAACAAAAAGGGATTTTACTTCACATTTCTTTCTGCACTATATTCTGTGAATGACTGCGGAGGCTCCTGGCTGCTTTAAGACATTAAAACCTGATGACTGGATGAATCCAACTTGCTCACTGAAAACCACCGATTTAAATTTGTTAACAGCATGAACATTTTCCTGACAATAGTCTGATACACTGCACATCTGCATTGTGTGTTTCACATGTTTGCACAACCATTATAGAGATTCAATTCAATTCACAACAGAAGTCATTTCAGGGCACTGAACAGAAACATTCAAATACATAAAAACAAAGTAATTTATCTGAGGAGCAGACTGTTTTCAGTCCAACGTCATCGCAGACTCATCTTGAGCAAGCAGGAAGGCGACAGTGGAAAAGAAAAACTCAAACCTCCAGCAGAACCAGGCTCAGGGCAAGTGACCATCTGCTTCGACCAGCTGGGCTTCAAAGGAACGAGGAGGAGGAACAGATACACAATGGCAGGTTAAGAATCACATGTTACAATAGAAATATCAAATAAACTATTCAATTGTAACAATTAATTTAAGGAAATGAGGTCAATTCATCCTCAAGTAGTCTAAGCCTATGGCAGCATTAGCCTACCCTAACTCCTTAACTGGGGTTGGTAGGAGAGATCATATTTCTCCAGTTTTAGCTTCTCTCCATTGGCTCCCTGTCAAATTCAGAATTGAATTCAAAATCTTCTAACCTACACAGCTCTCAACAACCTGGCTCCATCTTATATTACAGATTTATTGTTCCATATTTTCCTAAGAGCACTTTGCTCTCTGACTGCAGGCTTACTCGCGGTTCCTAGTTTCCAAAGGCAGAATGGGAGGAAGAGCTTTATCAGGCTCCTCTCTTGTGGAATCAACTTTCAGTTTCTGTCCATGAGGCTGACATTATCCAGTTTTAAGACTGGGCTTAAGCCTTTCCTTTTTGATAAATTCTATAGTCAGGGCCTAAAGAGGACCCTCTTACCTCGACGGGAACAAATTGGATTCATGATGACAACTGTTTTTTTTGCCGTTTGGCTGGTGAATTCTGGATTGTCTAAATTTGTGTGGATGTGTTGAAACTCGACAGCACTCAGACTGAAGTTGGGGAGCTGCAGCAGGGAGCTGGAGCAGGCTGTTATCAGGACTGAACTTCCTGGCAGCACCCATGAACAGTGGGAATAATCTTGGGAGAATGCTGAGAGCTCGACTTTTTGCGTAAAGGATCAATTTGGCTATTTTGGAGTTCCATCAGAGGAATACATACCAGCGAGACTTTAAAAAAAAAAGGCAGAAACAACAATTCACGAGTTCTGCCTGACCCAAACTGTGGCCTTGACGCCGGACTCATCTTAACTCCTCCTGGCATGTTTTGAAAACAACAAAGATGCTTTGTCTGTCTCCTCACCCCTCCCTTCCTCGAGGTCGTGGACATGTAACAGAACCTCAACCGAGCTGATGATGAATGACACTTCTTATCTGGACAATGGCTGAGAGGGGGCTCTGGACTATGCTACGACTTTTCCTTAAAATTCAATGTCTTCACCGGCCTATATGTAAATGTATAAAGTCTATTTATGTTGCTTTGCTGTGGTAGGTTTTATTGATGCCTCAAAATCGTGCCCCGTATAGGACACTGCATGAGATTTTTTTTAATTTTTTTTATACAGTCTCATATTTTCTTCCCTTTTCTCATCTAAGCAAAAAATCCTGAATAAGGCGGCTGCGCCATTTATAGCCGCAGCTTCGTGCACTCCGCCCATCTTTCGGACGACTGTACGTACATATTCTCTTATCTCGGTGCAATGCCAATAAAGTTTATTCTGATCAAGACTCTGGCAGCAGCATTTTGGATTAACTGCAGACTTTTTAAAAAGTATTTGGACACCCAAACCATTGCAATAATCCAGTCTAGACGTGACAAATGCATGAACCAGTTTATTTGAATCATTTTTAGATGTTTCTAATTTTAGCAATATTACGCAGGTGGAAGAAGGTGGTTCTAGTAACGTTTTTAATGTGGCAGATAAAAGACATGTCCTGATCAAATATTACACCAAGTTTTTTTTTAACATTAGAGCCAGAGGTCAGATTAATGCCATCCAAGGAGGGCGAAAGACTGAAAAATTAATTCCCAAGATGCTCGGGTCCAAAAACTAAAACCTCAGTCTTGTGTGTTCAAAAGGAGAAAATTTAGGGTCATCCAGGTTTTTATGTCTTTAAGACATGCTTGTAGTCTAAGTAGCTGATTAGATTCATTGGGTTTCATGGACAAATATAATTGTGCATCAGCATAACAATGAAAATTTATCCCATGTTGTTTAATAACAGGATTCCCTGAATAAACGCGTGAAGTTTGAAGGCCTGAATGATTTTTGCAGCTGCCCATCAACTCAGACTTTGATCAATTATTGGGCAAATAAGATCTAAACTCTAAAACATGTCTAATCTTTGTGAAGTAAAACATTATTTACAAGTCCATGCGACAAAGAACAGGGAAAAATAAGTCACAAGCTCCAAGAGGCATTTTCTGCACTCTTAAATCTTTGAGCAAATGTTTTTTTTATTCATGATGCAAGTGCTGTACAAGAGTGCAGTTTAAATTATAAGTTTCCAAATTAATACAACAAAATTTTTACAACTGAAACTTTTAAGATTGAAAACTCCATCAAACGATCTCATTTAGCATTTTTACACATGTATAAACAATACAAACTTTTTACAAAAAACCCAGAACATTACTTATGTTGGGTCAAGACAACTTCCTTCAATGGTCATCATCAACATATACAGTCCAAAAATCCTCCACCTGATCTTTTCTGATGAGACATTTTAAATTATTTATCCTGGATTTTCAAGAGCGATGAAATTAGGGTGAATGTGGGGAGTGGAAGTTCATCTTTAAAAAGAAAATGAGTTCACACGGTAAATACTACTGATGTAGCCAAGTGGAGACCAAAATGAGGAAAAGTATAGATTATTAAATGAAATAAAAAAACGGAAACTGTATGAGGTGCAAAAATGTGAAGGAGTGGGTGAGGGTAAGTAATCGGACCAAAAAATGATTGGGTACATTATGTAACCTCTGGTGTTACTGACACGAGGACCCAGCTTTACTTCACTCCAGCGTTCAAACAATCTGGTCTTTAGCTGAACATCTCATCAGCTTCCACCTCAGGAAGGCAGAGCCAGGAACCCAGTCGCAGACCTGAATGAGACATGATGCCATTTGTGTGCCATTACTTTATGCATCTATAGTGAACTTCTGGTAAATCATAGGACTCACTCCATGTTGCTTCTTAGCTGATGCACAGTACGCTTGTCGAGGTATCGACAGAAGAGCGTGAGCAGGTTTGAGGGAAGCAGGAGCGGTTCTACCAGTGAGCACTGGGACAGTTGTCCCGCCACCTGGAAGATTATGTCAGTCCTAAAACACAAAAGCCAGAAATGCTCCCATTATCTCAATCCTAAATAAAACAAACACACATTCAGACATTTAGTTACAACAAACCGGATTCCAAAAAAGTTGGGACACTAAAATTGTGAATAAAAACTGAATGCAATGATGTGGAGGTGCCAACATCTAATATTTTATTCAGAATAGAACACAAATCACAGATCAAAAGTTTAAACAGAGAATGTATCATTTTAAGGGAAAAATCTGTTGTTTCCAACTTTCATGGCGTCAACAAATCCCAAAAAAGTTGGGACAAGTCAATTTTTACCACTGTGTGGCATCTCCCCTTCTTACAACACTCAACAGACGTCTGGGGACAGAAGAGACCAGTTTCTCAAGTTTAGAAATAGGAATGCTCTCCCATTCATGTCTAATACAGGCCTCTAACTGTTCAATCATCTCAGGCCTTCTTTGTCGCACCTTCCTCTTTATGATGCGCCAAATGTTCTCTATAGGTGAAAGATCTGGACTGCAGGCTGGCCATTTCAGTACCCGGATCCTTCTCCTACGTAGCCATGATGTTGTGATTGCTGCAGAATGTG